TTGCAGTGAAAATGTGCACCTCAGGGAACAACTATGCATTTTCCAGATGGAACTGCTGATCACCTGCAGCTCTTCTATCGATACGTCTGTTAAGCAAAATGCCCCTGGGTGCCTCTGTTCCATATACTGCTGCTGGACCACCAGCTGATGTATTACTGGGATTTGTTAAATACAGGAAATAGTTCCTTAGGTATAACAATTGGTTTATGGGCTCCGTAAGATTCACTCTCTCAACTCCTACCACTCTGTTCCTGATCCTCCCAGACATCTGTCACAGGCCACATCCTTTGGCGCCCCCCAATTAACTCAACTGTTTTTTTCTTGATGTTTCTGAGAGACAAGCGTCTGCATATGGTTCCTCTATCAGACACAAGAGGGGATTAGGAGACTGTTTAATATACTGCAGTGTATTGTTGATCTGTACAGGAAAAAAGACCTGCTCCATGTGTCAGATATGCAGCAGCAGTTTGCTAAATTGACAGAAAAAATTGCACATGTAGGTCATGCCACCACCCATGATAATCTTAATCACGCTATAGTTTGCATTTGTGACATCCTCTCATTCACACTGACACCACTAAGACAGAGCAGGATTCTCAAAGTGTTAACACAACCACACATAACATTTGTACATCAAGAAGAATCACATGGCAGAACAAATACTGGAAGGGACAACCACATTGTTGCATAACAACGCTACACAGGATAGGACCAAGTGAGGGAGACTGATTTGAGTGAAACACCTTTTAAATCCTGAAGTGGAAATGTATACAGATGGCTGTTGTTTCAGGACAACCGATTGTGGGTTGCAGGCAGGATACGCAGTGGTGGAACTAGGGATAGATGAGACGCCCCGAATAGTCAAATAGAAACAGATGACAGAAGCGTGTCAGCGCAGAAAGTAGATTGGTGATGATATAAAATATGGCATGTACAATAGTCAAGCCGATTAATGCCCCCTCAGTGGCTACACACCATGTTGACACAGACTCATGGACCTGACCACAGGAGTACTGGACAGATGAACACATGACTTACAACACTGGTGGATTGATGGTAAGAATGTTGTAGTCAAAAAACTTTGTTAAAGACTGCTCAGTGTGCCAGACATGTAATGTAAGACCAGCTCTTAGAGCAGAGGCTGGCAAATATCCAGAACCAGCTGCACCAGGTCCGGAAATCACTATTGATTTCACAGACATGTTAAGCGTGAAGGTGGGAAACGTTATTTGTTGGTGATTGTGGACTCCTTCTCACGGTGGGTTGAGGCCTATCCCACCGCAAAGGAGGACGCCACATCAGTGATAAAATGTTTGATAAACCACTACATTCCCACTCATGGTTTTCCAGACTAATTCGCTCTGACAATGGAACACATTTCAAAAATAAAAGATCTGGAGATAGGCTGAGAAAGCATTAGGATTAAAACAAAATATGGGCACTGTATATCACCCTCAGTCTCAGGGCAAAGTGGAGAGAATGAATCAGACATTAAAAAAACAAATTATTAAAAGTCATAATGTCATATAAACTAAAGTTGGCCAGAGGCTTTGCCTTTGGGCCCTCTTGGGAGTGAGATCTGCAAGATAAACTAGTGAGACTAGTTTGACTCCTTTTGAGTTACATTACGCAGGACAGGAAAATACCTGTGTCCAACTCACTTCCCTGAAAGAAAATTTTCTAATGTGGGCTATAAACCATATTATGTGAAAATAAAACGCTCTGGTGTCAGAATTCTCTATCCCCACAGATCCACCAACAGGAGAGAGCTTTTCCACACGGGAACAGGAGCCAGAACTAGGAAGGAGGACCCCAGAGTTCCTGTATCTGAAGGCCATAAAGAGGAAGTGGAGTGAACCACAGTGGACAGGACCATTTAAAGTGATAGCCAGAACACACTCGGCAGTAAAACTGGCTGGGAAGGTTATAACTGGTATGACCTCTCTCAGTGTCCTAAGAACGCCAATCTCTTTTAGAATTGGACGGGACAGAGGAATCAGAGAACGAGGTGGAGGATGGTATCTGAGGAGGAAAGTAGTCCCACAGGGAAGGTTTAAAACGTTAGGTATGGGGAGGTTCCGCCCCATCGCAAGGTTGACCTGTGGAGGACACAGATAGATATGTTGAACTCAGTTTGTTGAGTTCAAAAGGGGGACTGTTGGAGTATTTCAGGCTATTAAACCTAAAACTGTTTAAATTGATTACACTAGTGGATATTTAGGTGCTAAGGGTGAGTTGTGGTTTAAACATCTGCCTCAAGGAAACTATTTACAACCACTGATAAGGACCACTCTATGGGCATGTGTAGGGGGCAGCCGGAGGTAACAGAGGTAGAGAAGTGCTAATTTATGTGTAAACGACTAACTGTCTTCTTTTTGGCGCGCTGAGTTTAGGTTTCACTTAGGGTCGGAGTCAGATGGGTAGGAGGAAGCGAGCAGAGCCAATCAGAAGACGACAAAACGCCCATGCACATTTCTTTGTTTGTATCTGTATAAATACACTGGATCAGGGAAAGTTAGGTTATCAGACTGTGGACTGACCAACACTTGTTATTGGTTAGGGAAATACACATCTGATCCAGAATTCTGTATTTGTTCATTGCTTGTTGAAAAGATTTACTAAACAAATTTAACTAAATTCTTTGGTGTGGACATTTACTGGTCTTTTGAGTATTTTGAACACTGCACACACCCCGTGGGGGGGGTAAGAGTTTTTTCCTCCAAATAGCAAAAAACTCCTTCAACAGATAAGCAGCGTTGTTCAGATATATGCTTGTGTACTTTGTGTTTACCTAGACAATTAAAGAGTATATTTGCTAGTGGGCAGATAAAGGCTGAATTGTCCCCAGCTAACACTGGAATGAGAACTTCAGAAATCATTACTACAGTAACATGAACAAATCATTTGCCACAAACTCACTAATGTCAGAAATTTTCATGTATGTCATGGTAGCTTTAAACTTTGAAAGCACTGTGTAGAGGATTAGAACATTTCTGAATTCTGTTCCAGCAGTATCAAGGATTACAATGTGCCATATAATTGTGGCCATGATAGTAGGCCATGTACAAATTAATGAGCTGGAACAACAGTTCCTCAAAATAAAAGCCCTGTCGGTGAGATACTTCATTATCAGAGTTATTACCATGCAAGGTTGATTGGCAGTAAATTATATACCTAAAAAAGTATGTACTTACCGCACAAGACCGATGGGCTGGTACTTGTAGAAGACACTATAGTTTGCCCACTCCTCATACAGAAGCTGAAGAAGACAATAAACAATATTTAGTTGCATTACTTGTCTATTTCTATCATGCCTCTAGCCTCTCTATTGACATATTTGTCATCGAGAAGAGTTCCTTTCCCTGTTTCCTAAACCATGCTAGCTCCACTGGTTGGGAAATGAATATGCTGTAAATAGGGCATTTGTTGGGGACTTTTACACAAAACAAGCATACAGGTGATAAAAAGCAAATAAATAAACTGAAAAAAACAGTATTCATCTTCCACAACATATCTCTGAAAGATTGAACAATGCTTTTCCTCAAACGGTGTATCATCTGTTAATAGTTAATTAGACTTGCACTCGTAACTATACCTCTGAGTTCAGATCATTTTGCTAGACAAACTGAGATTGTGTGGAGCTATGAAGGATTCCACACATGCTGAAAAAAAAAAACATTTAGGGTACCTGTGAACCCCAGCAGCTTGTGATCCACATGAAAAAAAAACATCAAATGAACTGACATGATTAGTACATTTAAGCAGACTCAGTTTTTTTTGTTCTAAGGTTAAAGTTAAAGTGGTGACAGATTATTTTGTGGTCCTAGTTTGGGCTCTACATGAGCACAGTTGTAAAGCTGTACAAATGCAAAACATGAACACCAGTCTGTGTAAACTTTAATTCTGGCTTCCATGACTGTCTTACCTTTCTGTCATTGGGCTCTGCTCTTTCATTAATATCTCCCTGAAAGAGGAAAGAGAAACAGTACCACTAGTTACTACACACCACAGCTGGAGACTGCGAGCCAGGATTTACTCATTTTAAGAAAAGGTGGAGCTACAGTACATTTTTTCACCCCATCTTCTAGATCTTCTAGATGACCCCACTGATTACATCAGCTTCAAAACTCAAGTATATAAACATGATCTGGAACTAGTATCCCCTACAATAACGGTACTTGGTACTACTCACATCATGAAGAGGGTAGGCTGCCGTATATACACCACTGCCAAGGAGACTGGTTATACCTGCCAAGAGAAAATGGAGATGCAGGTGTTAATATTCCTCAGTTCCTCAGCCAGTGTGACCACAGTAAATTTTGCTATATATTCATCGGCAATGTATTTTCCCACAAAAAAGACAAGACATAAGACGGAACTGAAGTCATTAAATGATAACTCCATACTACATCAATGACAAAAGATCAAATGATGACATATTCCAAATTCATCTTCCTGTTGGCCTGAATCATCTTCCTGGTGACTCTGCAGACCAGCAGCACATGAATGCACTAAAACCATGAAACAGTGCCAGCTTGGACCTAGCTTCTATTAGCTTTATACATATACAGAGACGACAAAGGAATACCATGGCAACAAAGCAGGTTGACATTTGGACCCACTTCAAAGATAATGCTGTTAAGAGAAAAAGTGAATGTAGTATTGTTGGGAGAGAAAATCACAGGACGAACGCCTTAAACCTGAAGAGACATTTCATCACACACCACAAAGAAACTGAGGTAACCTAACGCTAGGATGTTATATCAACCTACGTTACTTTTAAAGCTATATTAAGCCAAATACTGACAGCAGTGGTATAACCTGTAATGTGGCATCAGCATCTCACAACAAGACATTGTCAAATTACTTGCAGATGGGTCATTTGCCTCACTGAAAGGTCTGTAGCCCAGCTAGCTAAGTATGCTAACCTTTTGATGAAGACAAATGTATTGTGTGTTAAATATGCTATCCATGCACACTGCAACATTACAGAATGATATCAAAACCTTTCTGGCACAGTCCTGCAAAAAAAATCAACATTGTAAGTATTGTTTTGAGACTTCATTGTTTTATCTTTTAAATCTCAGCGTATTCCTTAGATGAATAACATCAGAGCAGACATCCTCTCTGTTATTTTGTGGCTTATTTTCATTTCTTATTTCTTTTAGCCTAACATTAGTTGAATGAAAGCTCATTTGAAGCAGTTTGCTGACTAACATGTACTTTTGATCTAAGGACTAAGACTAAATTTATAACAAAATAAGCAGGAAAGTTTTGTGATGCAGTATAAGTAATAGAATTAAGAGGCCTGCAGGCCTCAGTATCTAAGGACTAAGACTAAATTTGACACTGAGGCCTTCACGCCTCTTAATTCTGTTATTTATACTGCATCACAAAACTTTCCTGCTCATTTGTGTGGATCAATTTAACCTCCACCACACAAGGTGACATACTGGCACACTAGAACCCCCTATTTCAGAGGTGTGTGACTTACAACTGTGCTAATGCCCCACAGATGGCTCTATGTAGAGAAAACATGCAAACAAAGAAGAACAACAACAACAAAAACGGAGTATGAAACTGGCTCAGTTGCAACTTTGATGCTCACTCATTAGCTGCCTAACACAGTAGGGTTATTGGATTCAGTGGATAAGCTCTTAGCCCTAGTCACTTAACAGGACTGTGAGGGAATGAATGAGCTGAGGAATTGTGTTAAGGTTGAAGACTAACTCAAACTTCCAGCAGATACATACCAGTGATCAGGATCAGTATTGATAGGCATTATATGTGTAGTGTGGTTTTGAACACTTTAAACATATTTGTAAAGTGAATCTCATCTTGTTTGGTCCAGCAGTGACTGCCAGAGGTCAAGACTCACCCATGCTGTACTTGGCCTTGCATTTTGTTCTCTTTAGGACTTCAAAAACCTGAATGGGAATGAAAACACGAAAGTGAATTTAACTCAGCCTGTTGTTGAAGAAAATAATTATTCAGGTGTACTTTTTAATAATCAACACTGTAATAAAGCAACTCATTTCTGCAAATGCATACATATCCAGGGACTGAATAAACCCCCTGTACAATACCTGTACAATACTATACTATCAATTGTCACACTATATTGCATGCATTTGCTGGCTAACTGAAGTGTAATAAATGATATCAGTGCTGTACATGAAAGTGGCATGTCATTGGGTATGTTGGTGTTGTTGGAGCCTCAGTGGACTTACTATTGAACTCCTGGTTTTGCTGTCAAAGAAGTAATCTTTGTCTGAGAGGTCAAACCTGTTAATTCATACACACAAACAAACAAAAGCACACATACTTATTACTGTTTGGTGTCACTGTTCACACCCCTTACTGTTGTATGTACTACAGTCTATAGTAACACAGCATTTTTGAAAAGAACTAAAAATCCGACTGCTGATTACCAGCTGCAACAGCGTGGCTGACGCTGTCTGCACCCTGTGAATCTGTGTGTATGCACGCAGGTGCGTGCATGCATACATTATTGCATGAGTAATCGGTGCTTTGGGATTGGACCACACACATCTTTGACCTTTTTTGATCTCAAAGACACACCTACACCTACTACCCAATGAAAATAATACCAAGCATGCTGTTAACAAGTGGTAAATCCTACAGCAATACTCAGTTATCAGTCTGTCAATATACTGTGTGGATTTAATATAGAGATTTCACATTAGATTTTCCTATAGTACACAGGAGCATTGCGAAACAAAAAAAATTATGTATTAACTTTTTTCTGAGGTAGATCAGCTCTGTTTTTTCTTCTCCTGCAGTGTAGATTCTAACAGAGAATGAAAGTGTTCAAATGTCAAGTAGAATTAAAATACAATATTCATAAAGTGTTCAGTGTTTAAAAGTAATGTGGTGTCATGCAGGTGTCAGAGGACAGTGTTACCAACAGTCAAATTATTCACCTTATGATATGAAACACAGCAAAGCAAATACATCTTCAGATATGAGAAGGTGGAACCATCACATTTCTTACTTGAACATCCGATTGATTATCAAACTTGTGAAAGACTTGTGAAAGAAAGCCTTACTTGACTCCACTAAATAAAATATTCTTCTATCAAACCTTCATAACATCATCATCCAAAGACACAAAAACCAATAATGAAAATATGATCTTTGCTGAGACCGCAATTACTTAACAGTGACCAACATTACTTAATTTCCCACTGGAACGTGGGAACTACAATATTAAGCTGTCTTCATGAGTAATGACTATTTTTCTGTCAATTGATCTGTTGACTGATCTCACTGTGCACCAAATAAAATAATGGTCACACAATAACTGTTTAAAAAACATTTATAGTGAAGGGATATGAACTGTGATGTGCTCATCCTCCCAAAATCAGCAACTAACCAGCAGTAGTGATGGTTATTGTTAGGATTTTATCTTTATCTTATTCATACACTTATGGATCTAGCTCATACTGATTCTTTATCATTACTAAAGAATTGCGGAAGAAAAATTCAGAACTGGATTAGAATTGATTGGGCTGGTTTGTCTCGGCCAGCTTTTGTTTTAGCTTTTAATCAGTTTACTATCAGCTTAACCAGCATGATTTTGCTGTGTAAAAGACATCGGGAGACAGCGGACATAATAGATAAATATCTCTTTTCTGTTTATTGCTTGTTGAACAGGTGTGTGTGTGTGTGTGTGTGTGTGCGTGTGTGTGTATGTGTGTGTTCTGAGTATGCAGCCCAGCTTCTCCCAGAGACCAGAGGACAGAGAAGCAGTCAAACCATATATGATATTGAAAATATCATAATTGAAAATAAATATGTGGCGGTTAATAGTGACTGGCTGCCACAAATGAAATGTTCCCACTGACTGTTGCACTCCAAACATGAGTCAGTTTATTGACATGTACTTAACCATTCATGGTCCACCATATTTAAATATCTATAACACTTGGTATGTGAAGCCCAAGACAATTCCCAAGGTGCACTACAGTCTTCAGAATCAGGGGGCTTCCTTCAAGGTAGAAAAAAAATCACTCTTTGCATGTGTTCACTTTATATGGTGGAGTTTTCAAAAGGTAATCTATTTTGATTTATTTTATGTTCAGGGGGCTCACTGAACACAGCACATAACAAAAAGCTTTCTATTTTCTGCTGTAACACTAGTCTGTGTTAGAGCAAGACTCATAAAGACTGTACTGGATAACTTCACAATGGAAGCCTATGGGGACTATATTCCAATGATAATGTTATTCTACAATAGCATTTTAATTTTCCACATATCTATGTCTTATTTGAGTAAAAAAGAAAATGAAATAAACCTATTTGCATTTTCATTTTCACTTACTTGTATAGGCATTCTAGGGCCATTTTAAAATGAAAATGGAAAAGTTGTTTTACATTTCATTTTCAAAGTCATACCCTGCTGCACAGTGGATAATATTAAAATGTTAATTCAAATTTGAAAATTAAAATGCAATATAAACAATTTAACCTAATTTTACAAATAGGCAAGCAATATTCATGAAAATGAAAATGCTTTCTTTTTTTTGACAATTTGAGAGTGAAAATGAATAGCATTTGACATTGACATTGACTGTCAAAGTCTTAACCTGATCTACAGTTGTAAATATTTAAATGCAATTTGCAAAACATCTATTGCATTTTCATTTACATGTCACCATGCTCTTTTGGGGTAAAAATGAAAATGAAAATGCAATTTTTTAACAATCTGAAAATGAAAATGAGAATGGCATTTGACATTTCAAGTCTTAAGTCTTAAGCTGCTCTACAGTGGACAATATTCAAATGCAATAAGCAAAACAGCCCTCCTCAGTCTATTGCATTTTCATTTACATGTCACCAGGCTACTTTTGGGTCAACATGAAAATGAAAATGCAAACTGTCAGACCTCTCATCAAGGTGGGTCTTCAGTTAGGAGGTCACTTCCTTGTCACCATTTGTGTTGTTACTGTGGCAGCAGCTAATAACTGGTAGAACACTGAAATTTGCGGGACGTTTCTTTGCTCACTTTAGTACACACTTTGTTGATAAACTATGTGAGAAGAGCAGAAGAGACAGTGCCAGACCCGGGACTTGGATAATAAACACATGGTCATTTACAGGTGAGTGAGTTAACTCTTAAGTTAAGTTGTTGTGTGCATGACATGAGCCGGTAGTAGTTTATTGATTTGGTTGACAGACAAACTGGAAGCAAAGTGTTGTAGCTGACACACAGCTGTATGCTAACTTTACTTGTTTATTATTAATGTCAGCTCTTCCTCCTCTCAGAGGGTATTCGCCAACGTACGGCTGTGTGAATGTCTACATTTACTGTAGGAGTCAGTTAGCCTAGTCTTTTACATCACAGCTGTAATGGCTGCACTGACAGTTTTTATTTACTAAGCTCTAGTGTGGTTTTTATGTTAACAAATGTGTATGTTACCAGCAATCTGTGTGAGGATGCCGACTGTACAGACCAAAGAATTGTTTGTTTATGTCTATTGTCTAATTTAATAAATGTCCTGTGTTTCTGTTTGGTAGGTGTGGGTCCTGCAAAGCCGATGTATAAACTCAACTATGTTAAAGGCCAGCATTGACAACACAGATTACTGAGGCTACCTACTGTATGACTGCACCTGAATAATTGAAGAGGGCCAACAGGTTGGCTGATATACAGTACAGTATGTAATTTGATGTTGTAAGATGTTATTGTTGTTGATGTTATTTTGGCTCTGTGGTCAACCTTCTGTGATTTGAAATGAAAAAATGACAGAGATTAAAGCACTGACTGGGCATTGAGCAGGTCAGATCCATACTAGGTGAATATTGAAGTAACTGAAGCCTCTTGTTTTTGTTTTTACATATTTTGGCAATTTCAGGATAGTGCAGGAAGATGACAATCTGAAGCATACAGCCAGTGCAGGCAGAAATGTTTGTACCGCCCAGCAGCGGGCTGGTCTTGACTGGCAAAGTCATTCACATGGCCTCAGTCAATCTGACCAGGTGTGTCACAAAATCAGACCAAAGGCAAAAGGTCAGTTTGCAGTTGAGGCCTAGCAGAGCATCATAAGGGGAGATATCACAGATCTTCTAATGTCTGTGGATCATAGACCAGAGAGTCAACGAATAATTTGACCCCAAATATCAGAGTACTTAGGTTTATTTTAACAGATCAAATAATATTTTGTCCACTAAAATTAGTGAATAGTAGTTACAACTAAACACTAAACCTACAATTCTTATACAAAGTCGTGGTTTCATTTCAAAGCCAGTGTCCTGAGGCACAGATCAGTTACCACAAAACAGAGACAGATTTAACAGTCAAAATATTTTCTGTTTTAGCAGCATCCACTACACTTCCCCTCTTAAACTTTTGCTGATGAAAAGTTAGCATTATATGTTCTACCCTATTTAGAATAGATAATCTGTTAAGAGTTTTTCAATGATTGTTGTCTGTATGTTTTTCAAGTGTTTGTACTCACAACACCACCCTACACCTTGTTCATCTATCCTACGTTAATAGGATGTGTCAGCATTCAGTCCATATCAGCCTTAAAGATATGTATGCTAAAAGTTTAGAAAACAGACACACACTTAAGCTACCATCTGGACTTTTGTTCGAAATGTTAAAGAATATTTTCTTTAAAGCAAAGGACCAGATCAGCGGGCTGGAAAGGCACCAGGGATGACTGCTGGGGATGAAGTTGCTCACCTAGGATTCATGTGTTGAGGTTTCAACACACGGCTGCTATCTGAGTCCCTGACAATCACTACAGCTGGCACCTGAATCCAGCTTTCACAGAGAAACATAGATTGCTCAGTGCAAAGGACTAAGATGCTGCTGGTACTTTACATACAAAGTTGTTTCAGAAAGAATAACATTAATTGTTGTAGAATTATTGATTAATCAGTAATGACAGTAATCCAGAGGGATCCCGTACAATTTAGAAAAAAATGTTTTTATAATTACCATTTCTTACCAAGGTTTGAAAAGATGTGTAATGTCAGTGGAAACAATTGTTAAGAGGAAGTAAAAACATACAAGACACTTTGAGTGATTATAATGAAAAGCCTTTAATTTTGTTTAATTTAAATACAAACTAAACTAGATTTAAACTGTGTCTTTTTAATTTACTGGATGTTAGAGAAGTTAATCTATGTACAGTATATTAATTCTTCATCTTGTTTTTGTCATAATCTCTGCCTCATTCAAAAATAACTAAAAGCAATATTCTGTTTTTGTTGTTGTCTATCATAAATTTCTCCAGCAGTGGCAATATGCCAAA